TCTCATGGTGGAGTTATAAGATGGTGGGGTTAATCTGTATCAGTCCTGGTGATGATACATTGTATCAGTCCTGGTGATGGTGGAAGCTCTCATGGTGGGGTTATAACCTGGTGGAGTTATAACATGGTGGGGTTACGCTGTATCAGTCCTGTTGATGGTGGAATCTCTCATGGGGGGGTTATAACATGGTGGGGTTATACTGTATCATTCCTGGTGATGGTGGAATCTCACATGGTGGGGTTATAACATGGCGGGGTTACACTGTATCAGTCCTGATGATGGTGGAATCTCTCATGGTGGTGTTATAACATGGTGGGTTTACACTGTATCAGTCCTGGTGATGGTGGGATCTCTCATGGTGGGGTTATACTGTATCAGTCCTGGAGATGGAGGAATCTCTCATGGTGGGGTTACGCTGTATCAGTCCTGTTGATGGTGGAATCTCTCATGGTGGTGTTATAACATGGTGGGTTTACACTGTATCAGTCCTGGTGATAGTGGAATCTCTCATGGTGGGGCTATAACATGGTGGGGTTACACTATATCAGTCATGGTGATGGTGGAATCTCTCATGGAGGGGTTATAACATGGTGGGGTTACTCTGTATTAGTCCTGGTGATGGAGGAATCTCTCATGGTGGAGTTATAAGATGGTGGGGTTAATCTGTATCAGTCCTGGTGATGACATCCTTACTGTTCCGTCCTAGTGGTAGCATCAGTCCAGTTGGGGTCCCACAACAGGACTGAAAATAGCAGTAGAAAGGACCCCATCACCTCAAATGACTACACTGTATTAGTCCTGGTGATGCTGGAATCTCTCATGGTGGAGTTATAAGATGGTGGGGTTAATCTGTATCAGTCCTGGTGATGATACATTGTATCAGTCCTGGCGAAGGGTGAATCTCTCATGGTGGAGTTATAAGATGGTGGGGTTAATCTGTATCAGTCCTGGTGATGATACATTGTATCAGTCCTGGTGAAGGGTGAATCTCTCCTGGTGATGGTGGAATCTCTAATGGTGGGGTTATAACATGGTGGTGTTATAACATGGTGGGGTTACTCTGTATTCGTCCTGGTGATGGTGGAATCTCACATGGTGGGGTTATAACATGGTGGTGTTACACTGTATCAGTCCTGGTGATGATACATTGTATCAGTCCTGGCGAAGGGTGAATCTCTCATGGTGGAGTTATAACATGGTGGGGTTACACAATGTATCAGTCCTGGTGATGGTGGAATCTCTCATGGTGGGGTTACACTGTATCAGTCCTGGTGATGGTGGAATCTCTCATGGTGGTGTTACACTGTATCAGTCCTGGTGATGGTGGAATTTCTCATGGTGGGGTTATAACATGGTGGGGTTACACTGTATTAGTCCTGGTGATCGTGGAATCTTTCATGGTGGGGTTATGACATGGTGGGGTTACACTGTATCAGTCCTGGTGATGGTGGAATCTCTCATGGTGGGGTTCTCACATGGTGGGGTTACACAATGTATCAGTCCTGGTGATGGTGGACTCTCTCATGGTGGGGTTATAACATGGTGGGGTTACACTGTATCAGTCCTGGTGATGACATCCTTACTGGTCCGTCCTAGTGGTAGCATCAGTCCTGTTGGGGTCCCACAACAGGACTGAAAATAGCAGTAGAAAGGACCCCATCACCTCAAATGACATCACTTCTGGTAAGGACACCATGCTATGCCAGGCGCCATGCAACCACCAGGAACAATACACCACATGACATGGGGGAATATTACAACAAGTACCGACAAAACCACAAAGACTGAAGACAACAGCAGGATGGACACCACCAACACCACAAGTAAGGGATTCCACTGCCAGGATTGACACAAACACTAGGAAGGACAAAAACACCTGGAAGGATCTGACACCGTCACCATAGGGGACACCACCACTGGTAATAGAACACCATTGCTAGAAGAGATGCATTGAACACCAGGAATCACACCACCACATGACGACATCAACACAAGCACTTATGAAACCCCAAGGAATGACGTCACTATTGTGTCTGACACCTAACACATAAAGGGACGCCACCAGGACTGACAACTCCATTAGGAAGGACACACGCACCTGGAAAGATTCCACCACTAGGACTGAAATCATCACAAAGAGGGAGGGACACCACCAGGACAGATGACACCAGTGGGAAGGATGCCATCACTGGGACTGATACCACCTTGACAGACACTATAACTTGGAAGGGCAGCAACACCCACAATGACACCATATGCACTGACACCACCACTTACAACAACATAACCACCAATTCTACCATAGGGTGTTGGGTCACGATATTTGGCTAGGAGCTATCTGGAAGGAATCGCAATAAAGATTGTTTTGACCTACTGTCAAGGTCACATGGTCAAAATTGTTAAACCGCGGTATTCTCAATCTAGAATCACAAATTGATATTCAGCCAGTACGTAGCTTGCTTGAATGAAATGCTACAATTTTTTAAAACGTCATAACATCAAACCCATTTTCAAAGGAACACGAGTCAATTATCCAAAAAAAAAGGCTAACAGGTTTTATAGCTCACCTGGTTGACGCTGATAGATGACCGATGCTATCAAGTAGAGTGTGGCAGGGTTCAATTGTACATAGGATTAAGGTCACCTTCTAGCTTCGAGCTAGATGGAATTTCCCTTTAGCTCAGTGGTAGAGCGTCCGACTACGAGGGTTCGATCCCCGGTGGAAGCACACTATTCTCTTTCCTGTTACAAGTGTAAGCCTAAACCTGGCTCTTCAGGCCTAAGGGTGTGCAGTATTAAGTCAACAATAGCCTTGCAATAGTTTAAAACAACTATAATAATAAAGTTACAGTATGTTACATGTTTGGCTAATAGGAACTGCTGGGGAATGGGGCTAACAGACACTGGAATTAGGAAAAGCAGTTGGAGGGGGGAGGGGGGGGGGGGGCTTAACTGATATTGGGAAAATGAATGTACGGCTTGTGGGTAGGGGGCTAACAGGTTGGAGGCTAATAGCAAGGGAAAATAACAGCTAGGTCAGCTAACTGATAAGGTACTTCCGGTTGGGCGATAAGAGATATAGGCAAATGGGTAATAAGGCTAACAGGTAGGGGCTAATTGGTATGGATGTTAAATGGAAGCTTATATGTAGGGGCAAACAACAGGTATGGGGGCTCATATGTAGGGGCTACAACTAAGAGGGTGTAACAAGAAGGAGGTTATAAGGATGGAGCTAGGGGTGGTGGAAAACAACCTTTTCTATAGAAAAACTGGAACCTCGGCCTGGCGCCTCATAGCTGGTTATACGATCGCGAGTTACTTCCCTTGCGTTGCATTGAGTATAAAAGCCTCCGTATTTAGTTTAGTGTATTACAATATTTTGCATGTATACCACAAACTTGAAACTTTGCATATGATTAGGTAATGATATCTACGATATCGAACAGAAGAAAAAAGTTGAGAACACTGTTTAACCACGGACTTAGATATAATTCCGTGGTTTAACGAATTGCTTGGCACGTGAAAACCTTGCGCTGGGCACTCATTCCTCCACTGATACAAGAATACGTAATTTAATACTAAAATATCAATATTTTCTATTTGTGGGATCAAACTTTGCATTTAAAGTAATTTAACGAATTGTTGGGCGCGCGAAAACCTCGCTGGGCACCCATTAAGGGTTGAATAGCTTGTGTCGTCTGTGTATGTATGTTATATGCTCTATGTAATAAATCTATTAAATGTTATACACTATGTGAGTTGTTTGTAATGGAAACCCTGGAACCCCAGGCTCAATGAACCTGGGTAAGCAAAGCCAGGACTTGCTCCTGCTACATATATATACCTATATATTTGATAAATTCGATTTATTTATGGTTTCTAGACCGGATTTAACATAATTAGTTACACAATAGCTGTTTCAACATAAATCAGAAATCGCTTCAATCCTTGAGAGTACATGTTTCTCGGCAGCACGATTTACCCAAAAAGACCCCCCCCCCCCCAAAAAAACCCACCCCAAAACACCTCAAAAACACCAAAAACACCCCACTAAAACATTAAATACGTATAGATATTTATATTTCTGCTTCCTGACATTATGTAACATAATGATGTTTCCCGTTAATTGAACAGTTACAGTGACGCGAGTAATATTAACTATACGTATTTGAGTTACTTCCCCTGCAACAAGTTTACCGTTTGCCTTTAACAAAAGTTTTATCGATAAGTGGTATTTATTCTCACTCTTTCCACATTATTTGACATAGGTAGTCTTTGTTTATTTTGTATTTGATAAGCGCTTTGCTCTTAAGAGGTTATTGTTTGATGTGTTAAATTCGTACTTTTTTTAACAGTCTGATTATTTCAATCTATTTTGCGTTTTCGAGTGAATCATTTGGGTGCTTTTTTGAAAGTTATTGGCCCTAAAAAGGGCCGTTTTATGGTACGTATTTCCTCTTAATGCTTCTGTGTGGAGGCGATGATTCTTCGGATTCTGGACATATACTTCTTCATGCCTGTGTTAACGGTGATCAGTTCACTGGTTTGAAGATGGACCAGGCCCCGGTTTCATCAACGTTCCTTAACTTTAATGAGTTCCTTAAATCTTGTAGATAGTCAGTCGGGTACTTATATGATTAATGTCTTTGATACATTTTATTGATATGTTTTCATTTATACAAGGAAATGTCAAAGGATTTCTGGTTTCTAGACCGGATATAACATAGGTAGTTACTCATTAGCCTAGACAGAGACGATATGTTTCTGGCCAGAGACATATAAAGCCATATAACTACGTCTCTGGGTGATCTAATTCCGTGCTGTTCAGTAGCAGGCAGATTTCCTGTGTGAAGGACCAAATGTAAAATTTCGAAACTTGTATTAGGCTGCGGTGGTAACACTTCAACATAGTGATATGTGACGTCATATATGTTTGCTTTGTATTTCCGGAATATTTCATTTCCATATCCGTGACCGGTTTCGTTTATTATAATACAGTCAAACGCACTACAGAAAAATGGCGGATAAGTCTTTGCCATGGGGTTTGCGAACGGACAAATTAACCCCTGGCTCGACAAAGGTGTGCTTTTATTTCGAGTGTTTGCAGTAATTGAGATAACAAACCCATACTTTATTTCCTTGTGGGATATATGGCGAATAGCAGGCAGAAGTAGCTGCTTGCATGTTTCATGTTTGTGATGCAGTATCTTGCTATGCTGACTTAGTGACTGATGTTGGAACGACATAGTACTATTATTAGTAACAAGAGACTGCTTATATAAAAACACACAGACAATAGTTTAATCATAATAAGACACTGTCAGATGATGCAGTTGATATGTAGCTTCTTAAATATTTAGGACATAATTCTTCTTCCAGTAATGTGCCGGGTTCCATGCGGAGCATATTCGCACATGGATGGGTAGTAGTCTACTATTATTAATACCCGGCTGGGTATTAAACTTACTCTGTGCCGTGTAATTGAGCAACTCGGGTGTGAATAACACTGGGGCGAATTTAGCATTGATAGCGCATGGGTCTGCATTCATACACTGTTTCGTAATATAAACTTTTTCTGTTGATCTCCAGCTGTGTAACTTGAAGATAAACTCTGCCTAAAATGTTAACTTATGAAGTTTACGTTGCAAGGGCAATCAAATTCTGAATTGAATGCCATGACGAAACTTTGTTTCTCTTCCCATCTAGGATATATAGGATATAGGAGTACTATATATGGGTGTCATGACCCAAAACATCCTCAATACTCCAGGGCTAGGGGTTACACAGAGGCTGAGTATCTGCAACCAAGTGCTGAAATATGTACATCATAAGTTCAACATCTGTGTCATAAGTAGGGTCTTCTGAAGGTACCAAAACCTAATGGTGCCGAAACCAGAGACATATGTAGTATATATACGTCTCTACCGAAACATATAAAATTCTTTTTAGATCAACTCTTTACTTTTTTGAAACTGTCCTGTGAAAATGAGTCCAGCGCATTTGGCAATATATAATGTCTCTGAAATCAAGAACATTGTGGAATGAAAATTTATTAATTTAAAAATGAATCATAAAATAAGAGTAAGAAAAGTACCTCTTCCTGAAATTTTTGCCTCTTCAGGAAGTGGCAGGTACAGGGCATCAAGTGATACTATTGTCCATACACTTGTCCAAATTTTTGTTGTTTAATATGTCGTGTATGTGGGCTAAGTGCAGCTAGGGTTAAGTAATATAACTTAACTCTACGTGCCTTGTCGAGTATGGTATGTTGAAAGACATTCCGTTATCTTGACGTTTTATTTTAATACAAAAACGGTACATTTAACCATTGACTAGCATTATCACTATCGCCGATATAAAACTGAATTTATCTTTGCAGGCAATATCGGAGAGCAAATTAAAGGCATTTGAAGTAGGTACTATGAATATTGGAAAGAAATCTCTGTCAAAAAGAGAACAGGAGGAAATAAAGAAAAAGGTAAGTTTGAAACGGAAAAACATTTCAGCTAGTTTACTTCGTAGGTGAATTTAAAGTTATTCCACAATATTTATGTGTACGATGTGTGAACTGTCAACCCTCCCTTATATTTATTAGTAGGGAGACTTGACCAAAATTTACCAACCTCCCCTCAAAACTCATTCAAGTCCAAACTCACACAAACTCAATATCAACACTCTATGATCAGATTATCTCCTAGTTACTGCAGGGTGTACATGTGTGTAATGATCATAACAGGTGTGTCTGAATCAAATGAATCGGCTTTTGGAGTGATTTTGATACATAAATAAGAAAAGATAGATTGAGCAAAACAGTTTCAGTCAGGTTTCACCCATGTTTCCACCAATTTCTCCTTCATTGGAAATTTGGAAAGAAGGAGATACCCCTCATTGGAGGTTTCAGAGGTTGACACCTATGCATCTATTTCATTTGATGTTAAAAGATAACCAAATCAAAAGCTAGTAAATAGTTATGAATTGGTATCACATATAATTTATATGTTGTTATAGATCAACACCTTACAAATTATGAAGTTGAAGCAAAAATTGGAAGGGAACCCAAATATTTAAAATACAATCATCTTCAAAATGGATATATATATATATATCTATAGTATTACTTGCTATAGGTAAGATTGCATTGTGTCAACTGATTAAGGTCATACATATAGCCACACAGTGGAAAATTGATTTGCTAAGAGCTGGTGTGCTAAGTCAGATGTGGAAGTAGAAAAGTTACAGAAAAGATCGAAAGGAAAAGCAGTATTCCAGTTAGTGTAGCATATCCCTTTTGCTGTAAGGAAGGGACACATTCAGGGCTAGATAATATAGGTAACCCGATAGTCTGAGACTTGTCACGAGAAATCTGCAGCTGGATTAGTGGATCTTACAAATGTTAGTCCGATTGACTAGTTAAAATTTATAAAAATTGCCTGTCTTGTTGAATATAATATAGGGTTAGAGGAATTTGCACATGGACTAGTAAAAATTAAAAACTACTACCCCAATTGACTAGTGGTTATCAAAAATAATTTCTAGCCAAACTGACCGAAGAAAAATCCTGATTCTGCAGGTAGACCCAAATTTGTCGCATGGAATGATAATGCAGTTGGATCCAGCTTCCCCCAATCGTACACTACAGATCTTTGGACTCAACTTTTAAAAGGATTGCGATAGCCATTGTACATCTTTTCAGATATTGTTTTAGAAAACTGATGTGATAAATGATTTCATTGCAGCAAGATGCACATGCGGCAGCTCAGGTTTATGAGGAGTTTGTGGCCTCCTTCCAGGACAGTGGCAAGCAAAGCAAGGCCTGGGTCAAGGGTGGAGTTGTCAACCCAGTGGAGAAGTCCTGTAAGTTCACCATCAACATCACATAACTACCATGCTCATTTAAGGCTTAAAGAAGTTAAAATGGTCTAAATTCTTCACATATTACTTTCTTATGATATGACATATTATGGTGTTAGAACTTGGACCAGAATGATAAGCATTGTGGCGAAAATATACTTTATGATAGTCAGAATAAAAAAAAAAAGGGAAGTATTGGCACACATTCTTTGTTAATGTGGTAAAAAAGTGTGAAAACTTCAATAGAAGTATGAGAGCCTGGTAGAATCCCTTCCTACCGACTCTGCTAAGGAGATCTCATTCTAAGTTTGATCCCCAGTGGAAAAATTGAAAACAAATAGACCTCTGTTACGTCGACCTCCAGGTATAGGACCAGGGAAATACTGCCAAAATTCTTGTGAAAATCATCAATGGATTTATGATATGCCTGTTTTTATTCCCTAACAAGGAAAAGAACCGTCAATTTTATAATAGCTTAAGGATCCCAGCACCACTGCCAAAATCTGTAACAGAGTATAGGAAACTGTACCGGCATGACTATAGCTTAAGTTAATCATTTCTGAAAGGAAAACCATACCTTGCAGGACTTGATGGGGGGGGGATCCTTAAGAAAAGTTTTCATTGCAAGGGCCTTTTGCTAAAAGGAAAGATATAATTTCACCTTAGGATATATATCATTTCTTTTTATAGCACCCTCCGGGAAACCTGAGAAAAGCAAACTATACAAACCCACCTCTAAGCTAGCAGAATTGGCATCAACCTTTCAGTCTGTGAAGGAAGCCAAAAAGAAGGATGATGATGTTGATGACGACAAGTATGACAATAGGTCGTTTACAGATAGATCCGTAAGTATAGACGGGGCCAATACTTTGTCTGTTTTGGAAAAAAGAACTCTAATTATGATACAGCTAATACATATTACTCAGTTATATTCTGGCTACATTGGCTTTCGCACAGCTGTGCTAACTTATATTTGTAGTTCTATAAATATAAAACTTTTTTTATAAGTAAGTTTAACTTATATTAATTACTCTTGTTGGCCGGATGTTACGGCGCCGCCGGGGGTGGGGATGGGGCTCATAATGTGAGAGTAAACCTGAGTGACCAGAGAAAACCCACGTGGTCGGGCAGGTGACCCCATACCTTTTCACGTCCGATCAGGGAATCAAACCCCGGCCACCTTGGTGAAAGGCAAATGCGCCGCTATCCACTGCACCACCCGACTAGTTCTAACAATAGAAAAATGTCTTTAGAGGTTCATTTGCCAAACAGAAGAGGCTGTACACCAATTTATGACTTGGATAATCAGTCTGATATACCATAAAGTACTAAGTTATTAGTGCTCCAATGAAAGCATATTTAAGGAAGAGTTTCAAAAATGTTTGTCGAAATAAAACCCAGGACTTCACACTTACAACCTTAAAAAGTTTTTGAGATATTGAAACCTGAAAGCTAATATATCTATTAATTTTTAGGCCTTTCCGTAATTTTTTGTTAGTGTTGATAACTTGTTTTTAATAAAGTTTTATGTGTTTATGCAGAGCTTCAGTGTGGGAAAGAAGAAGAAAGAAGACCAAAAGAAGAAAAGTAATCTAGAAATATTTAAGGAAGAATTAAAACAGTGAGTGAAATGTTTACAGTTTTGTAAATAGATATCAGTGATGATTTAATAATGAGAAGAAAATATATTATCAAATTCTTCTAATGTAAAAATAGAAACACGCATATAAACATTTAGACTATATAAACATGTTAATTTGGTAAGTTTGTAGGTGAAAATATTTAAATTTAAGAACTGTATACTGTAAAACTAAGTATTATAAAGTTATTATGGATGATACATAGAACTTCACAGTGTTTTAAGTTCAAAGACACAATTTATTGATGTTGCTTAACTTTCCGGGGTAGGACGATAGGTAGATATGGAGAGTTCCAAAATCACGTCCGTGTAGTTCTATACACAAGTTCTACTACAAACAAACTTTTTGTGAAATCTGAAATATACAGTACTCAGGAACAAACCACAGGGGCGTGGATCGCTTTACTTGTAATATTAAAAAATAGGGGTCTCCTTTACTAAAAAATACAATTTTTTAATATTACAAGTAAAGCGATCCATGCCCCTGTGGGAACAACTATCATAAATGTTGGCTATACTATAGCAAAATAATTTCTCCACTTTCATGGACGAAAATTTTGGCTTTACCATAATATAATATTTTCTCAGGTTTCATGGACTATTTATCGCAAATTCTGGCTATACTATAGCATAATAGTTGCTCAGGTTTCATGTCAAAGTGTTTGACTGTAACGGTATATTCCTATGATTTGTTTGTTTATGGTTTGCTTGCTGTTTACCCCTGTTACAGAATACAGTTGGAGAGAGAAGAACGACATAAGTGGAAATCAGGTATCAAAAATCAGGGGTTTGACCCGGGGACGGAGCCCATGGAGGACAGATTTGGAAAGTATGAAGCCTCACTAGAGCCTGGATTTAATAAAGGTATTCACTGTTGTCAGAGCAGGTGTCAGTCTTTCTTGTAGTGAATTAGGACCAATTATTTCATGATTTAAAGTTGGGCCTGGGGCTTTAAAAACTAGGGGTATTTAGGTAAGCAAGTGTTTGCCTTTTCTGTTAGTTTGCATTTAGCTCTATTTTTTGAAGTGGAAGCGAGACTTAGGTGTTGCTTTTCCGGTGACAGCAGCGTCAACGTTAAGTATTTTTGTTTAAGTTAGTTTCTCTGAAAATATAAGAGCTACACCAACCGAACTTGGACCATATATATAGATGCATTTTAGGTAGTATATGTCTGCCCATGCATCAAATGCTGGATGCAGCCTACCTATCATGGTCCATTGACTTTGTCAGTATTTCCAACAGCTTAAAGTTTTTGCGTTTAACTTAGTTTCTCTGATATGTGCATTGTTGGTCAAAGCGGGGCAAAGGCGAAACATATCAATCTGAATGGCTTGTCTTATACTAGAAGTCCAACAGTCGTCAAAGTTCATCTGGCAACAAAATTTAAAGTTCACCTGGCAAAAAAAAAATCAAAAATGCTGACTATTGCCAGAATATGTGTTTTAGGTATCCCGACCTACCCTAGACTTTACTGACGACCCTAGATATTTTATGACCTACTTGTATCTAAGATTAATTTATTAGCCAGGCAAACTTCACAGCCACTCATAAAAATGTACTGCCTTCCTGTTCTAGAAGTCTGACCTTATTCTTGACAGATTAATAGCCAATGTAATGTGTGGATGTGCATCGTAAAATTTTAAATAAAGCATAAATATTAAATTAACACAAAAAAATAATAATATTAAAATAAAATTATTTAACTACCGACCTACCCTATTTTTTTCAGGCATGTTTGAAACAAACTGTTTTCTTTTTTTGGCCTCCGACACATCTTGAGGAGTGCTACACCAATTTGTCAATTGTAGCTTACTAGCTAGTCAACCTGTATTTTCTGCTCCATTGAATTTTGTCAGATTTTATATTTCCAGTACAAGATGTTAAAATAGTCATCAATACATCAAATGCCACCCCACTTACTTTGGCTAGATCAGCATGGTCCAGTTGTTTGGTTAGACTTTGCATTTAGCTCCATATCCATGATAGCGGAATGGGGCATATGGTTGTTTTATAAACATTTCCTGACAAATATTGATCTGGTAATTTATATTCTTAGACATGTTGCAATCTGTCCTTGGTTGAAACCTTATAATTATTTTTAAAGTCTTTGTCATCGATTTGTATTGTATAATGTTGTGTTAATCGATGTATTGTATAATGTTGTGTTTGATTAGTGAAATGTTTTGAAAATATTTTTTTAGCTGACAACATGCGACTTGGTCCATATGATCCCGCGGACGAAAGTACAACAAATATTTACGTAGGCAACATTAATCCAAAGGTAAGTTATATATATATACATCCTTAAAATTTAATAAAGTTTCATCTCCTGATTAGTGGTGTTGTAGCAATTCAGTTTAAAAAAGGCTTTAGAACTCAGAAATATGACACAGACCGTTACTGATCTTAATGCTTTTGTCTCGCCGCCACGAAGTACCGGAAGCGAGACTAAGGTGTTGTTTTGGAGGCGGCAACGGCGGCGTCATCACAAGTTTTTGCGTTTAAGTTAGTTTCACTGAATGTAAGAGTACTACACCAACCAAACTTGGACCATAGATGTATCTTAGGTAGTACATCTCAAGCCATGCATCAAATGCTGGATGCAGCCCCTCAATCGTGGTCCAATGACTTTGTCAGCATCTCCATCAATATTAAGTGTTTGCGTTAAGATTATGTAGTAACTTGCAAACTGTTTTTCACATTAATGTTTGAACTTTTAAAATATCTAAAATTTTGGCCTATTTGAATCTATGTAGACATCATTTTTTGAATTTTAGTTTTCCTAAAAATCATCGAATCAAAGATTCAATAACAACTACATATATGAACAGTTGTATATATGTATCTATAGTAAACTATGGATTTATGACAAATTTGCATCCTTATAACGATTAAAATTTATTTGAAGAAATATTCATATATCCATTGTACTGTCTTGAAATAATTCTACCATCTAAAAATATTATCATAGCATAACCGCATGAACTGTCAGATGGGACTGTTTTTCAGTCATAAATTGTTTTAGGTCTTACCATCTAACTGTAAAAATGATGTCAAATTCACACTTGACAAACTCTAGAATGGTCTCTTGATTTGTGAATTTATCACCTGATGAAACAATTCATCATAGAAGATATGGCATTGTTAATTCCCACCTAAATGGTTGTTTCACCATTCTCAAAATAATTAAAACGTATAATGAATCGAAAGAATCTTCCCAAGAAAATAAAATAAAATTTTGCTGTTTACAACGTAAATACATTTATAGTAGGATTGAAATGTATGATCTGAACATTTATGATATTAAGAAACCCAGTTGCTTTAATGCAGACTAAAGCAACTGGGTTTCTTAATATCATAAATGTTTCGCGTTTCCGGTTAAGCTTTAATGCAGACTAAAGCAACTGGGTTTCTTAATATCGTAAATGTTTCGCGTTTCCGGTTAAACTAGTTTGTCTGTTTTTAAATGTAACATTTTCAGGTATCAACCCTTGCGAACCTCCAAATGTTTATGCAGGCCTTGCAAGGCTTTGTCAAGGCTCGACTAAAAGCAGCATCAGATTACTAGGTCCGACCTTATTTCATAAACAAACAACTGTGGTCCAACCGTTTGTATCGTGATAAATGAATGCGGACATAATCTCCTAGGTACACTACCACACATCACGGAAGGTATTTCCGTCCTTAAATAACATCATTTATGTTACTTCTTTACAGATGACTGAGCAACAGTTGTGCGAGGTATTTGGGAGGTACGGCCCCCTTGCTAGCGTGAAAATCATGTGGCCACGAACAGATGAAGAGCGCTCGAGGGGAAGGAACTGTGGTTTTGTGGCCTTCATGAACAGAAAAGATGGGGAGAGAGCCATGAATTCACTCAAAGGTAAGTACAAGAACAAAGCCAGTGAAAAGAGGGGTTCACGTAAAAAAACACCTGAAATGTTGAAGCTTTAGTACAGATATAGATATTTCAGTTAAAAGATACTCAGTTGGTTTCCACTTTATAACTGTTGTGATGTTTTGTCCTTGTGAAGAGTTAAATGACTGATAGACCTTACACACTTGAACTATCCTGTAATGAAAGTGAGATTCACAATGCTTGTCTCGTGTGTTCTAAAACTCCCTCATTACTCTCATTTATTCAACTTTACACCAGGTAAACAAATATCAGAAGTGTTCTGCATGGTTTTAATCCAGTCCGTTAAACTAATTCTAAATTTGACCAGAATTATTAAGCGATTAATGAGTCACTGACATTTGAAAGTTATGAGATATTTTTGATGTGATGCACATTCTTTAGATATGTATGAATTTACACATATCCCAGAAACTGTGACTGTATATCATGCTTATGATTTTTGTAATGGCCAAATTTTTTTTGTTGAATTTTCTGTCTACAACTCGCTATGATTTCAATTTTCAAGCCTTGATATTAAAGAGCGATTTGCTGTTGAATTCTGAATGTTTGACACAGGCAAAGAAGTGATGCAATTTGAAATGAAGTTAGGTTGGGGTAAGGCTGTGCCCATACCGCCCCATCCGGTCTATATACCTCCCGCTCTAGTCGAGTTAACTCAGCCTCCACCCCCGTCTGGGTTACCATTCAACGCCCAGCCGAGCAAGAGCAGTCGCCGACTACGATCTGAAAAATTATATGGCAATGTGCCACCTCCAGGCTTGAACGGATCAGTTAAAGATGAGCCAGCAGAGGATATAGAGAAGGTAATTGAAGTAGGAATGGTCAGGTCTACAGCTCCCCCCTGCCTTTATATCCCCTTTATGTCCTGAATTTATTTTTCATCTTTTGAAAATTTGTATTCAGGTTGTGAGATTTTTAAGATTTGAGATTTTGCACATCTTACTGTATTTCAGAATATGTTTTATTTTAGTACGTTAAGAAATATGAAATCTCAAGTTATCCGTTTTGCAACCTTTTCTATATTTATTTTCAAAATTGAATCTATAATTGAAAATTCTGCCCTAGAGAAGTTTGAGAAGTTTATTTTCGCCAGCCCTACCCGTCTTTAAAATTCTAGGTCTTATTCTGTCTTTGAAGCCATACAACAGAACAGTTTTATCCCATCTTTCTTATATGTACAATATATGTGTAACAATAAATTCATCACTTTGTTTCTTCTCTTGCATATCATAATTAACTTAATTTCCTTTTACACAATGATTTCTTGTTGAGTGATCGTTAAAATAATGATAAATATTATAATATTATAATGACAACCAACTAATTCTCTCTATTATTTCTCAGTAAAATTCCTTTCTCAGTAAATTTTCAATCTCATGATATGGTAAAGAGTGAAACTTTTGAAATGTATGTATTTATATAATTTACATGTATAAAGAGCCCATACTTAATAGAACTTAATTTGGTTTTTCAACTGCGATTTCTCCAGACTTTAGCCAAAGCTGTTGTGAAAGTGGTAATTCCCACAGAAAGGTATACCATTTTTTTTTTTTTAAAGAGATATACCTAGAACGACAATTTATACAATTATAGATGTTTAAAAGTTAGGAAAATAGGTCAGTAGGCAATGATGGACACAACACGGAGGGAACACCACACTGGCGCCACCTGCTGGACGAGGAAGGGAGTTTATCAAGGAGGATGGAAATTGGTTTTAAATTTAGATTTTTTTCATTGGATTTTAAAAGATCCATACATTTTTTATATTAAAGAAAACTAGATTTAAAGATTTTTTTGTACGTTTTGTAAGTATTTAAAAGCAACTTTTTTTGAAATTGAAAAGAAATTAAGTTAAGTTATTAAGAAAACAAGAAAGGAAATGGGTTGAATTTTTTTTATTTGATTTTGGACTTTTTTTTTCTTCATATTTTTGAAGTTTTGTGAATAATTTTATAATTAAACCAATGCTTGTAAAAAAAAAATTAAAATATTTTGCCATTTGTAGAATGAATCTTGTTTTGTTGCCTTAATGATATCTATATTTTTGTAAGTATTTTCTTTTCATTTTTTCGCCAATTTACTTTAATTATTGTTACAGAAAGTTGTGTTTCTGTTAGTATTTCTAAAATGCGAAATGTTACTTTTTTTACTGACTTGAATCAATATATTGCTAACATAGAATATCCTTAAAATGTTTTTGATCTTTTTTTAAATGTATTGGTAATATTTTACAAAATGCTTCCTGAAAAAATGGTTTATAGCATGATTCAGATGAATGGAAGATTGAATAGAAATTGAACATTTTGGATGTACATTTTTCAATGAAATGCAAACTCTTTGATTGAAGGAGTTACTAATCAGAATTAACTTAGCAAATCCACTTTACTGTGACAAAATAGTATTTTATAGGCGACAACAATGTGCGACATATTCAGTTTTACATGTTTTAAAGTTTTACTTTGTGACAAGTTTAGTCAGTTTAACTTTGTGACAAGTTTAGTTTTACTTTGTGACAAGTTCAGTTTTACTTTGTGACAAGTTTAGTTTTACTTTGTGACAAGTTCAGTTTTACTTTGTGACAAGTTTAGTTTTACTTTGTGACAAGTTCAGTTTTTCTTTGTGACAAGTTTAGTTTTACATTGTGACAAGTTTAGTTTTACATTGTGACAAGTTTAGTTTTACTTTGTGACAAGTTCAGTTTTACTTTGTGACAAGTTCAGTTTTACTTTGTGACAAGTTCAGTTTTACATTGTGACTGACAAGTTTAGTTTTACTTTGTGACAAGTTTAGTTTTACTTTGTGACAAGTTCAGTTTTACTTTGTGACAAGTTCAGTTTTACATTGTGACTGACAAGTTTAGTTTTACTTTGTGACAAGTTTAGTTTTACTTTGTGACAAGTTCAGTTTTACTTTGTGACAAGTTCAGTTTTACATTGTGACTGACAAGTTTAGTTTTACTTTGTGACAAATTCAGTTTTACTTTATGACAAGTTTAGTTTTACTTCGTGACTGTGACAAGTTCAGTTTTACTTTGAAATTTTGACAAGTTCAGATTTGAATTGTACATGATTGTACTATTGAGGGGGAAAATTATTGTTATTTTATTGTACTTGATGATCAAAAATTTAACACTGACCAATTTCTGAGAGAGAGAGAGAAAGAGAGAAAAAACAGTTTCTTGTTGCTGCAGAAATGAAACGTTTTCTAAAAACCCATTTCTGTGGTGATTATTGTGAATTTAAGTTTAATTTAGATGAAGTAGGTATTTTTTTTTAGCCAACCTGTCTATAGTGGATATCTGTGTACAGAGTATATACCCCCCCCCCCCCTAAAAAAACAACAAAAAACAATTCATATTTGTTCTTGCTTGGTGTGAAAATGTCAAAGGTAACATCTCTCCCAGGGTTTGGTTCTAACTGATAGAAAGTGTCTGTTGAGATACACGATAAGAACTAGGAGAGACAGCAGGGTTCCCTGTAGACAGGTTGAATAGTACTAAAGTACGTGTTAATTATTGATAAGTTTAATGTGTGTTGCCACTCGGAGTGAATGCTTGCTTCTGTATTGTCTGACTGGGGGGTGAGTACACCGCTGTTAAAAGTCTTTATCTAGGGAAATTAAAGTGACGATAAAATGTTACGAAGTCAACGGATTTTGTTTTGTTTCATGTGGTAGGGTTGCTTTTGAATTAAATTCGTTTGGTCAGTATAAAGATGAAAATGTTAAGCCTTTTGGCCGATTTCAGCCTTTTTCAGAATTTTTGTGTTGTCCAAACTTTCATTTTTTCCCACAGTAGGGATTCAAAAATCTAATTTTCAGCATTTTTACTTGTAAGCCCATTGGCATCTGTGTATTTAAATCTGATATCTTCAGTAAAGATAAAGACTTTTGTGGCGGGGGGAGGGTGAAATCATCACCAGAGTGCTCATAATATTCATATATTTTATTTTTCCCATACAAATGCATGAGCCAAACCAAGCCTAAAGGCATCTATTTAAGATCATTGTGTATGCTGAATTATAAATATAATTATTCAAAATGACATATCTCTGATGGTGGAAACGTTTTTACATCATCATTTCTAATGAATGTTATGCATGAAAAAATCTTTGAAAGGTCGACGAAGTGCTCGAAGCATTTAATGTGGCAACATAAAAGATTTCTATAAATTTCTACTAATTATGTAACTTGTGAAAATAAATGAGATTCACATTGCAGTTTCTGGTGATGATTGATAGAAAGTCAGGAAATGCCCCTGAACATTTACATTCAATCCCATCGAAATGCTTGGTAAATTTGAATTTAAGAATACCATATTTATCCTTTTACCACTAACTGCCTTGTGAAAAAGATTGTATATGGTTGTCATGGGTTTTTTTGATAAAAAAGGCGTGTTTTTATGAATTTAATTAATAATTACTAAAAAGAAGAAACTGAAAATTGAAAATTATATATAAAAAAAAGACAGTTTTCTATGTGAATGGAATTGATTTTTGTTCATGGGCTATCCTGTTCTTTCTTGTTGCAAGTATGTTAGATATGGGGGAGTGAGTGAGATTTTCATTTTTTTATGTTTTGTAATTTACTAAATATTGATGGGTAGCAAGCTGGAATTGTTTGCACCGGTTGATTACGGGGTGAAAATCTCGCCCGTGAGTTTGTGGTTCGACTGTTATGCTTTTTTTATACAGAAATCTTCTGTGTGTGATACATCGCATGATCGAGTTTGTTGTTCGAGAAGGTCCAATGTTTGAAGCCATGATCATGAATCGAGAAATCAGTAACCCGATGTTCAGGTAAGGACAATTTTTCTTTCTCTCTTAATTTCAAACATGTTAATAAGATAATTAAGAATAAACTTATTAATGCTTAGATTTAATCTAATTGTAAGAATTCATGTGTGGTAGAATATATATGCTGTAAACGTGTGAAGGATCAGCTATGATTATTTCAATGCTTCTTGAATTGAAAATCATAGCAAATGCTTCGTGTACACTTATCATGTAGATTTTTATTGTTTAAAGTCTTGTATAATTGAAATTGCATGTTTAAGTATTTTGAATATTCATAAATGTATACATAAATAGGTCTATACATTTTGTTGAAGATATTGAATTCACCATTTTAGAAATAGAGTAAATTTCCTTTTTTGCTTTTGTAAAAAGCAGGAAAAGATACATATAGATTTTGGGAGGAATGTTTCTGATTTTAAGATAATTTGAACTACCCTGTGGTATATTTAATCGCTATTTATGGATTTTGGTACGATTTGTAGCCGAACTTAATAATTTGTATAACATTGCATGTTTATACCTTAACACGTCGAATGATGTATTGGTTGATTGGTTTAAATGACACTGATTTTTCTATGCTTGCATGTTGATAATTGTTTTTTAACCAAGTCATGTCTAATACAGTCAACTTTGTAATCTCAAGTTGAAGAGCCAAAAAAAATCTCTCTCAAGATATATACCAAGAGTATTGATTTGTTTTCCAATTTTGAGATAACAATGTTTGAACTTTTTTGTCTTTCTAACGCGGAATTATTAGTTCAGTATTAGCTGTCTCATTGCCCTCAGCTACCCTCTCGATAAATTGGATCATATTTGATTGACTTGAAACAAAATCCAGAAGGAAGCCTTCTACTATACATACCTTTAATAAGATTCATCAGTTTTGAAAAAACTTTGATAGAGCCTACTAGCATGTGTTAATACTGAGGGAGAGAGACTTTGGCTGGCTGATACAAACTAATACTTCACAAGCCGTAGACTGCTAATGTTCATGTTTTGGCAGATTAACTTTAGTTCATACAAAAACACATGAAATAAATTTCATTTATTTCCGTTATAATGTTTTATTTGTGTCATGTGACATTTTTCACTATCGAAAAAAATGTCGCAGTAAAATGAGCACAGGAAAAGATGGTACAGGTAGTCTCGCCATCGTCATCTACTGTTAACTCATTCACCCCTGAAGACACATTTGAACTCTTCCAATTCAAAGGTTGGAATAGTTCATTATGAAATTTCAGGGGTGTTGCTCTTATGACCCTGCCACAAATTAAATATCATGAACAATAGCTATGTGTTTTGCAAATTAGTTCCTTGTATTTGCACACTATATTTGCTGACTTGTTTTACACAAGAAAACCATGTATTGCGAAATCCAAGTTAATGTTATCTGCTTTAAACTAACGATAATTGACCAATGGAAAGGGTTTTTCTTCCTGAATCCTAGTTAGAAGTTTATGCACATTTTCAGATTCCTATTACTTTATATAGTTCGTCAATGCTACGTCAATTCTTTCACATACATGTTTGATTCCAAAAAAACAAAAATCGTTCCTTTTGTACCATTTGGACCATTTAATAACATCTTGGCTCAATAGCTTAAATAGATAAATTCTTCGGTTAAATTCTTAATGGCATATCCTGTATTACTGATCAATGAGTTAAAAAAAAAATCGTACAATTTTACATACTGTTAAAACACTTTTTTTTGTGTTGAAATGAAATTTGAAATCGGGGGTTTGCAAATTACATAGACAGTAAAAATTTATTCTGTTTTGGCTGGATTAAAAAGAAAAATCGTTTTGGTCACTGGATCTGGTGCTATCTTTGGTGTGCTGGGTGTTTGTGGTTTGTAATTGGTGTAGCATGTCCCTGCAGTCCAAATTATTGGCGCTATATTTATATGTATAAACCTCGTTATCTATGTCATCAAAGGTAAGTACACCACCATCCATACTCGCCTACAGGTATCTCATTTACATTACCCTTCAAAGTTTCATTTTCATACCGGTAATTATTTTGCGCTCCATTTGGTTCAGGGTGAAAATGTTTTGTAAAACTGTTGGCTTAACCCTTTCACCCCTAGGTAACTTTAGTAGACTCTACCATACATTGATCTGGATGAGTCCATTATGATCTACAGTGGGGAAAGGATTAAGAAATACATGTGTTATAATAATTTTCAATAAAGCTATACAGATGCGGGGGGGGGGGGATAAAGATTTGTCACATTAGGTAAACATCAAATAAGTACCATTTTAGTATAGATATTTAACAAAAGTAAGAATTTTTCTGAACAGTTCAATTTCAGTTAAATTACTATTTTAATACTGATGTTACGTAAGATATACAGCTTGTTGTACATGTTATATAAATATTATATATTGAGAAAACAAATTTAAAGTGAAAGGGGGGAAAAAACTTTCGCCGTTTGTGTTCCAGAGTAAATATTGCAGACTGAGAGAAAAAAAAAAAGGAAAAAAGTTATACGGTTTAGGGCTTGTACATAAAGCCCTCTATACCAATATTGCATATTGAGAAAAAAAAATATAAAAGGAAGGGGAAACAATGCTTTTGTCATATGTGTTCCAGAATANGTGGGGGGGGGGGGGGGGGGGGGGTAATACAAATGGATGAAAAAAAAAATGCTTTAAAAAGTGTTATTTTCAATAAGGCTGAAAAACTGATGTTTAGGAAAATTAGCCTTTATTTTTGCATGTCTGTGGTAGTATTGAGCTTTCTGTGTAAGTTTCTTCTTTATCCCCAGTTTCCTAGATTAGAACCTGTCGGACTTTGAAACGGAGGGTAGTTCAATATCTCTGGAGACTATTGTAGTGATGCTATAGGAAGTTGACTAACGCTTCCACTATGCTTCTGTGATGTCCCAGCTTTACTGCCTTAATGATGCTTAATTTTGTTTTGACAAGAAATATTTCTTTTTATTATTTCTGTTTTGATTTTAAAGATAAAGATTTTATGTAAAATTTTAATAAAGACACGTGTGTCTAGTTTAAGTGATATAATGGCCAACTTGTTTTGTTTGAGTTTAAAATACACATTTGTGTAAGAAGAGAATACAAAGATCACACCTTTCTCTGCAGATTCTATTCATACTTATTGCCAGCTTTGAAAAGTGTTGGAAATTTGGATGTTAATTAACAGACATTAGACAGTAGATATATAAAATTACATTGTAGGTAAGTTTGCGTCTTTTACCATTTAAGTTTGATTTTATTTACTATCAAAACTGTCTGCACTTTCTGTTGGTTTACATTTGACCCATGCTGGCTTCCAAAAATTAAGAAAGAAGATGTTTTTGTTAGCCAAGATATGACTCTTGGTAATAGAAAAGATGTTTTATAAATCAACCATTATTTCACATTCCTTCAAACATTTCATTGACTAATAGAAATCTAATGGATTACTCTTAGGCAGAACTTTCTAAGCTGTATCGCATTGACATACCCTACATGCTTTAGATATCCTATATTAACCCTTTCACCACTGTAGACCATAATTGACTCATCCAGAAAGATGCATGGGAGAGTCTACTAAAGTTGCATAGGGGTGAAAGGGTTAAGTGGAAAAGTAAATAAGGTACATGAATAATCTTTACTAAAGGGCAAACAACAAAATATGTGTGTTTCCTGTAACATTTTTGAAAAATTTAGGGTAGGGAGGCCGGTAACATGCTGTATTTTTAAAATAGTTTTATGGGGTTTATTTAGGAGAGAGATCTTCTTGACTTTAACTGTGCTTCTTTGAAAATTGCTTTAAAAAGTTAGGGTAGGCACAAAAACATTGGGTAAGTAGGGTTTCTAAAAACGCAAAATATGTTTTGTTTGGCCTAAGAATAATTTTGTTAAATTTTCAATTAATTAAAATTTATGAAATAGATTGGTGTACTTATGGAAACCAACAGATGTGCTTCCTATGGTGTTTCATTTGTATGTAATACAAGCACTTTATCACGGGTATTAACCATTGTATAACTGCCGTTTCCAGGTTCCTGTTCGACAACCAAAGTCCGGCACACCTCTACTACAGATGGAAAATGTTCACCATTCTTCAGGTTACTCTTAATTAATCATTTTGAAGAAAAAAAATGAAAAAATGTTGCCCTTTAGAGTATAATATCAGTTTTCATCTTTAATTTTGTTTTGTAATTATTTTGTTTGACTGGTTTGTTATTTGTACAGTTTCAATTTACATAATACCTCATAGTTGCTCAAAATACTTCATTCTGTGGTAACATTACATCTAAATAAATTCAACTGTTTAGATGAAAAACCTAATGATATTGAAATGAACAAGACCAAAGTGTGTGTGTCAATGCTGTGGTTAAGTTTTTAAATTTGAAAAAAATGGTGATTAAACAAATACAGTTAAACCTTGCTATACTGCCATTATTTGTTCAGAATAATTTGGCGCTATAAACTATAAAGGGGTTTTGGCGCCAAACCAAGGGGAAAAAATAATAAATAATTCTCAAGAAAAAAGAGAAAAATGGATAGTGAAATATATTGGCGGTAAGGTAATGAAGGGCTTTTTATCCAGGTTTTACTGTATCTGAACTACAGATCCTTCTCCAAGTTACACATTTTGTTTCTGTACTTCAGGGTGACTCGCCCTACCGGTGGAGGACTGAGGAGTTTAAGATGTTCAAGGGTGGATCCCTGTGGAAGCCGCCTCCCATGAACCCCTACACCCAGGGCATGCCGGATGAACTGGTCCGTGAGGATCTTACTTTCGACCAGGAAGATGAGGTTGTCACCAAGAAGGGCCAGTTAACCGATAGGTTTGTTTATCAATCTTCCCAAGATAAAGACTTGCTTGAAGGTCACAATGACTTTATAGACGAATGTCATTTTCTCTTGATTGAAGGTGACTTTGGTTGGAATGAATGTCACATCAAATTAAGTGAAGTTCATACTGAAGGCGAGTTTAGCATTATTAAAGGTCACAATGACTTTGATAAATGTGATACTGACTTAATTGAAGGTCATACTGACTTGAATGAATGTCATACAGATTTAATTGAAGGTCATACTGACTTGAATGTCATACTGACTTAATTGAAGGTCATACTGACTTGAATGAATGTCAAACTGACTTAATTGAAGGTTATACTGACTTAATTGAAGGTCATACTGACTTAATTGAAGGTCATACTGACTTGAATGAATGTCATACAGATTTAATTGAAGGTCATACTGACTTGAATGTCATACTGACTTAATTGAAGGTCATACTGACTTGAATGAATGTCATACTGACTTAATTGAAGGTCAAACTGACTTGAATGAATGTCAAACTGACTGATGCATTAAATACTAGAATTGTTGCTCCAATCAAAATAATTCCATAGGCAAAATTAAGACTTGATAAAAAAACTAACTTTGTGTCCTGATTGCAAATATTTTGTATCACAGCCAAAGAGACTGAATAGATGCATTGAATACAAGAATTGTTGCTGCAATCAAAACAATTCCATAGGGAAACACGATGACTTAATAAATGACTTTGTGTCCTGATTGCAAACACTTTGTTTGACAGCCAAAGAGACCGGTTAGAAGACACACTGCGTGAACTCACACCAGAGCGAATGAAGATTGGTGATGCCATGGTATGGTGCATGGATCATGCTGAAGCAGCTGAGGAAATCGTGGAATGTATTACAGAGTCTTTGTCCATACTACAGACTCCCATCCCTAAAAAGGTTAGTGCCAAACACTATCCTAGTGTGTTCAGTTTTTCCGAGCCTAACTCGTGGCACTGCATTGGAGCTTAACTCAGGTTCTTTGGCGTTAAGGGTTACTGATAACAAAAAGGGCCTGTTCACTTGTGCGGAACAACCGGTTTGTTTATGCTGGCCTTGTCAAAACTCGCCTGAAAGCAGCATCAGATTACTAGGTCCGACCTTTTTTCATAAACGAATAACTCTAGTCCAACCGCTTTAACTGTTTGGATTGCGATAAACGTAACCAGCCTAAATCACACGTACCCATTAGAACATTTTGAATGGAATCGTTAATTACATGTGCATGATAGCTACCGCTGGGATGTTGGACTCCACTTTAATATCATTAGCTCTTACTCTACATACACAATATCATTTTTTTGATATTTTGACAACATAAATCATTTTGCTGAGTCATGCTTCTATCAATATTTTGTTTTACAAAACTTATGCCATTCATTTCTTTGTTGTGTTTCAGATTGCAAGATTGTTTTTGGTGTCCGATATTTTATTTAACAGTAGTGCTAAAGTCCCCAATGCTTCATTCTTTAGAAAATGGTAAGTCTTCCAACCGGTTCATGTGATGATAAACTTAAGGCTGTATGTTACCTTCCTGTTACATGCATCTCATTTGCAAATGAGTTCCAATGAAATGGCCTTGAAATGATGACTTAATGACGACACAAGAACGTGAAGCGCTTTATCCTCAAGTTATTAAGATACGGATTAAAAGTTTCTGAAGGGAGGTAACTCTTCAAAAGTTAATGGTGTACTGTAAATATGGCTTATTTTTCATGAAAATATCTTGTGAATTCAAATACCCAGAAACCATGAAAATAAGCCAGAGTTTATTTGTATTCAGTTGTGTTCTTGCAAATTAAGGTAAACATTTTTGTAAAACCATTATTTCTTATATACCATTTCAGTTTTCAAATTAAATTACGGGAAATATTCAAAGATGTCCACGAGACCTATGTAAACATTGATGGCAGGTTAAAAGCAGAACAGTTTAAAGTAAGTATGATCTGTGAATAGTGAAAGGTGCTTCTCAGATATTTGACACAGAAACTGTTTGTTATTTATGGAGAACTTTATAATATTAAAGGTAATTCAGGTCATTAACCCCCCCCCCCCCCCCCCCCCCCTCCCCCTCTGGTTGATGTAATTAATTCTCTTGTTATTTCATTTCCACTGAAGAAAGTTAAATTTTCAGAGTGCTGCCTTTTCATTACATTATTAGCTCTAAGAAGTGGATATCAACCATATTTGACTGGAAGCATCCCTAGGTGATGGTGATTAAAAATTGTACAAATGGTGGGGCTGACTCCCCAGGGGGCTAAGGGGCGGGGCCAAAAGGGTACAATTTGGCTATATTGCTACAAACGACTTCTTCTGTAGAACTGTGCACTGGATATCAATCATATTTGATCAAAAGCATTCCTGGGAGGCAGGGATTTAAAATTGTACAAATGGTGTGGCTGACCCCCCAGGGGGCTGAGGGGCAGGGCCAAAAAGGGTATTTGGCTATACTGCTTTAAG